CAGTTAAAGTAAAGTAGCAGATGATAATGCGGCGAAGGTAAAAATTGAAATATTTTAAAAAAAGGGAAGAAAGAAATTTTTATTAATTTTACGTAATTTTTTTTTTCCCCCTCCAATTTAAGGTTAAAAATAGCTGTGGCAATTCACTATAACAAAATCCACAAACCACCTTTGACGTTATTATCGTTCAGAAGAAGAAGAAGAAGAAAAAAAAAAAAAAAAAAAGTGCCAAATTTAAAACACTCCAATATGTAAATTTGTGTATATCCTAGAACATTTTGAATAAAAAATAATTTTTTGCAGGTATGCTTAGAAATACACCTACTTTAATGATGGTAAAATTGATAATGATTGGTAATGATGATGGTAAAATTTTTATAAGTTATAATTCAAAATATTTATAGAAAAATTTATAAAAATTAGTTTAAAATAAATGGGTGGATTTTATTTGGAATGAACCTAAATTTTGAAATGTGAAAGGAAGAATAAAAAACGTTTTATAAAAAAGAGATATTGCTAAATATATATTAAATTCAATTAACATTGAGGAGCTAAAATTTTGAGAGCTAATTGTTTAAAAACTACTCGTGCGATTTTTACAAAACTTGGCAGTCTGGCACAATTTAAGTCGTAGAATCAAAATATGGAAAAAAAAAATGGTATGTTATTTAAGAAAAAGAAAAAGTAGAACGGGAGATACAGAACTGTTCCCCCCCTTTTTTTTTGCGCTGTGTAAAGTAGAACGGGAGATACAGAACTGTTCCCCCCTTTTTTTGCGCAGTGTACATATGCAGAGTGTACAGTAAATGTTGCGATACACTTCTGGGAAAGGCACATCATAAGGGTTAAGAATTGCATAGGAACCCATGCCCAGAATTGTCACTGTATACTGCCAGGGGTGCTGTACAAGAGCATGCTAGTGGAAAGTAAGGATTGCCTCATTCGAGCGGTAGGTACCACATGAAGAGTATGGAACACTTTACGAACCAAGAGCTTGCAGACATTCACTTATTGTACGGAATAGCTGAGGGTAATAGACGAACTGCTGCACTTCTTCGACAGACATCAACCATACCAGTTTCTTTGCACGTCTGCATCAAAATTTGTGCGACTATGGGTCATTAAGATGTGGACTCATTTTGGACTTGGATGTTCGTAGCCATTTGTACAGATCATTCACACATCAATGGATTGGGTGTGGTGGACCAGTTCCCTGACCCCCACGCTCACCGGATTTACCGAGCCTTGATTTCTTTTTGTGGGAAGCCGTCAAAAGTATCATGTATCGCGATCCTGTTGTGTCTGAAATGAAACTTGTGGCAAGACTCGCCTGCGCAGCTGCTACAATCAAAGAAACTCCCGGTGTGTTTGAACATGTATGGCAATAAATGGTCCGTCGGTGTCACATATGTTTGGTGTCTGATGGTGCAAACTTCGAGCATTTGTTGTAACATTCAAGATATTATACACCATTTGTATACATCTCCAATAAATGTTTCAAATTAATCACTCTTGTTTCTTTTCCCATTTTCTACTTCTGTTACAACTTACCCCTGATATTTCTGGGCATGGGTTCCTATGCAATTCTTAATCCTTATGATGTGCCCTACCTACCCCCAGAAGTTTGTCGCAACATTTACGGGACACCCTATATACATATATAAATGAACACATACTTCCATATATACATGCATTCACACAAATATTTCTGAATCCGGTCCTAATAACAGACGAGTACCAGGCTTGGACTAATATCAAACATTCTTGCTGCAGCACCAAACATTCTTACCAACATTCTTGCTGCAGGTAACTTTCTTACTTTTAATTAGTTCTTCTTTTCTGGAAACCCTAGGATAGCATTTTTGTGTGCACCTGCATTTAATACAACCCACCTTTCTTTGCAGATTTATTAACTCCTTGAAGTATCCCCCCCCATATACTGTCAATTTAGTATACTGTTATTCGAAAGCCTAGGAAAAACCTTTAAATGAACTCAGAAAAACCTTCAAATGATTTCAGAAAGAAAGAGCATTACACATATATCTTTCAGATTTCTTAGAAACAAAAAGGGTGTCCATCAAACAGTGAATGTACCTACACATTAAAAATGTAGTTTTAAATTAGAAGTGCACATTATATGTCAGAATATGCAATACTGAAATAATTCACAATAAAGAGCCTTTTAAGAGTAAACACAGTAAAAGATGGACTATTTGGAAAGTTCAGTAAATGCCAAATTCTGGGATACTTAAGCCAATTACTACTCAGGTGGTTGTGCATTAATGCAACCACTTTAATAGAAGTTACCAGATTTTAACTTTGCACCAAAATGGTGACAACCATGTGCAAAACAACTCTGCTGCTTTAACAAGAAACGTTGCCATTTTTGTACGCATTCTTTTTCTAATGCCAGCGATTTGTTAACACAAATTAATAACTGATTTTTTTAAACTCTGTTTTAACATATAAACTTGTATATTCTTCTGCAGTGGAAGAAACTGTGACAATATTTCAGCATTAATACAGTACTTGGCTGGAAACTCGCTAAAGGAAATAATTACAGCAATTGCCATGAAATTTCCACCACAAAAAAAACTCATT